AGGCAGCGGCATGGCTGTGTCACTGTCATTGCTGATGTTCATGGGCTACGGTGTCCACTTCACATCAGGTGGCCCATCTGCTCGTCTGCCTTAGAATGCAAAATAAGTATTCCTAACAGTAACATACTACTGGTTAATGTTATTTTTGAAGTTATACTTCTTTAGGCGCGTTATGAAAAAATGACGAGAGTGAAATTTTAAGATGCGCGCGCATCACTGTAACACAAAAAATTTTGTGTTTACCGCACATTAAGAAAATCTACCAACATAATAGAAATAGAATCTCTTTTTTGTGGGTGCTAACGACTGCATTGTGAAGGCCTATCAGAAGTATTTATTAATCTGGAACAACGGAACCAAAGCGCGATTCAGGAGACTACAGCGCCATCTCTTGACCATTGGTGTAGTAGAACCAAAAACCACATCTTTATTTTTTGTAATAAAGTAACAGTTATAGGTATTCATATTTATAATATTTATCCACATGTTTCTAGTTTGTATATTCGGAATACGTGTTTGAGTTTCATACAAGTGCAAATCACATATGTTCTAATAAATTATATTCAGTAACGATTTTAATTGAATATTTTGATTATTTATTTATTTTTTCAAATTAAAACTGAACTTTATTGACTGTGACCTTTTCCAGACTTTTTATTAATTTATTGTAATTAATTATTTGCATGCAATTAAAAACTAATTTTAAACGATGCCAAAGAAGGATAACTTCTCACGCGCCTACATAAGTACACGCACCCATTTTTTTCATTTCGTGGATCCTTTCGGTTTGCAGCCTCAAAGTGCTGGAACGATCTTCCCCCGCCCGTGCGTGATCTGAAAACCATTGGAACATTCCGAAAACATTTCAAAATATATCTACTTCATATACAAAGTTCATCATAGGATTCACGACACGACTTACCTAGTTTTTTCACTTCGCGTCGGTTTGTTTCAATCGTTCCGGTTGTGTTAGCTGGCACTATCGACGATCGACGTAATGTTTGTCTGTTATTAAAGCTTTATAAAAAATCTCGCCATCCATCTTGCTTTCACCACGTTGGTATAGTAATGTAAGATGCAAAATTATAATTGTAGCTGAATTCCTGTGTGTTTGCCGACTATTTGTTGTTTTTCTGTTTTTGCATACTGCCTTATGTTGTTTGTCCTCTCTTGCTGTCAATTCTTAGTTGCACACAGGCATAAATCGGCAGCGAAATTACTATTAATATTTTTGCAACATAAATACTTATTTAATTGTGTTTATAGTAAGGTTAGTGTTTTTTTTTGGAGGTTCAGTTTGTACTCTGTCCTCCCACAGATTAGTCATTCTTTTTTATTTTATTTTTTCTTAATCTTTGCATTGTGTTAAGGCTAAGATTGTAATATTATACAGCCATTCCATTTTTTTTTCTCTTTAATATGTATTTATTGGTTTGCTTGTTTCTTTTGGTGTATTATTGTTGTTTTATTTATTATCTGTGTCATCAACCATAGGCCCCGCCAGAATTATCAGCGCTGCAGCAGCCCTGGTGTTGCTGTAGTATCAAGCTGAGGCAGGGACCTAGTTGGCCTATTTTGTCTTGTTTTATTTAAGTAAATCTGACTGTTTAAGGCTAATAAATTTATTTCTATTCTATTCTATCCTATTTTACTGTGTGTCTTGTATAAGGCAGAGATTACTATCTCGGAGAGCTGCTCAACTTGAGCGGCAAATTCAATATGCCCTACCCTCTTACTATGCCTGTCCGCTATCGTCTCAGATAGGATTGACTAGGAGAGTAGATTATGGAATCATAGGTGCACGATACATAGGGGAAATTGGTGAGAACTAATTCAGGTCATGCAGATTGCAGCTCCATCCCATTGAGCGTCTCTGAACCGGAACGGCTTGATTTGCTACACAAATTGCTCGATACAGATACAATGTGACTGATTGATACAATATGATATGAGTGATGCATCAAAACGCTTAATGCACAAAACATCATTTTATTATACACCGTGAATTTTGATTTTACTGAAACTTTACTCGTTAATTCAGAAAAAAAGATGTTTAAAGGTGCCTCCACTTTAACTTAATAATTGTGCAATTAGGAAACCTTAAAAAATACTTTCGTCTTCATCTAAGTCACTATAAATGGATAATTATTCCATATAGTTAGTTATATTATTAACAAATTTCTGCCGATTTAGGATATTTGTAAACTATATAAATTGTTGTTGTTTATAACTGTTTTCAGTATTTTTATTTACAAAATATTTAAGTTTCTGTAAGTAACTCTAAATTCACGGTGTGTTTTTAACAAACTTTGCTCAACAATACCAATTTACCAATCAACGTTTAAAGTTCTATGATAAATGTTAACACAATAAAGGTATCGTATAAATCACATTTTTACAATAAATTGAAATACGTCATAGGTATTTCTGCAAAGAACTTTTGAATTGTACATTTTAACAACATTCACAAAGCCACTGGCTTAACTTTGCATGTTCGTACTAATGGCATGTTGGTATGTCATAACAAGCGGCTTATGCAAACATAAAAGAAATTGCATTCATTAGAGAAAGCCATAAAAAAAAAATTGGAAGATACCCAGGAGCTATCAAAAAGTTGATAATGTAAATGTATGCTTTTTTTTTAACTTTTTTATTAACTGCCGTCTTTGACGAAAGCAGACAGATTGAAACTTATTTTTTAACTATAGTCAATTATAAGGGAAGGGATAATTTGTTCCGCCATAAAAAAACACACTTCAATTACTGTTCACGATACCTGATGCGATTTGAAAGTGATGTCAGAGACAAAAAACCAAACCAGTGGGTAAGATTTACTGAGGTAAGAAGTTGCTAAAATTACGTACTTTTTATAACCACGCGGTCTCGACGCGGTCAGTGAGGGCCGCGGTAGCATAATTGGTCAGTGCATTCGCCCGGATTGCGAAGGGTTCGAGTCCCGTATGCTGCCTGGTCCGCGTGGAATTTTTTCTAGTTATATTTTCTTTAGATTTAAACATCAAGCAGTTACATGCTTTAAAAAATAATCATCATAACTATAAATGCTGTTTATTCTTTCAAATGTTTAATACTTGTAAAAGTATTCATTTGACATTGTGGGTACCTATAATGCGAAGAGATGGTGCTGCCTTGCGTCTTAAGAATGGCTAGAAGAATTTCGACGCGGTCCGTGAGGGCCGCGGTAGCATAATTGGTCAGTGCATTCGCCCGGATTGCGAAGGGTGCGGGTTCGAGTCCCGTCTGCTGCCTGGTCCGCTTGGATTTTTTTCTAGTTATATTTTCTTTAGTATTTATTTTTCCTACCAACTATATGCAGATGACTGCCAAATCTATCGGCAAGCATCACTTGGTCAATTCGGAGATACGGTGCTTGCAAATTGAACTCCTTATGGTGGTAAACAATTACTGTGTCTAAATCGTAGTAAATGCTCACGTGAACTTTAAAAATAAGTAGGTATCTAAGTAATAAACTTTGAAATAACACGTCTCGATTTTGATGATCCAATCTGATCCAATCCAATATAATGAAGCGACAAGTAAGTTCTTGTTTTTATTTTTTTATTTTATCGTTATATTCTTGCTAATGTTAGTGCCATGTGTCATATTCGTTCAGTGTCGTTGATTTACTTACGAATAAATTGTTACGCGTCTACTCACAGTGAAAAAACAAGACAAATCTGATTTCCTTTCGTTTTTATCGCTGTAATTTGTTCGTAGCACTTAATTTTCTCAGACACGCATGCCACACCCACAAGGCCTTTCTAACATTTTTTATTTAAACCTTGGATCAAATGAACAGAAAAACACTTTATTGATGATCACATGCACCTTGTCGAATTATGTAGATAAATCAATGTCAACGAATCACTATCCATTTTGAAGTTCTTTTTTTTTATAATTTGTTTCTAAATTAACATAATCAATATATTTTTACATGAACAACACATCGAAAAACCACTAAAGTTTGAATGATGCGTCACAGTTCGCCGCACATCATAATTCATCATTGTCACAAAATATTATTTAAAAACAACATTTTAAGTTTACGTTTTATATTTTTTCATTAAGCGAATCTCTAAATTCTGGGTCCATTTTGTTTATGAGACGAGGTAACAAGTAATCTACAGTGCGTCTGCCGTAGATGTTGATTGCCGTTGTCGTGGCTAGCAACCCGCGAGTGATCGCCCGGGTACCTTTATCGTGAATAATGGGTTTTTTAATAGAAGTATTGAAGAATTCTTCCTTAAGAAGTTGAAATGTGGACTGTTCGCTAACTGGCAGTACGTTACAATATTTAAATAACAACCTTTCGTCTGAGGCTAATTGTTGTTTTACATTGGGCGAGATAACTCTTTTCAATATTCTTACTTGTAGATTATGAATCTTATCCAAGTAGGTCTTATAAGTACGACCGTAACTAGATAGGCCATAATTAATAATAGAATGTGCAAATGCGTTATATAATGTTAGTCGAGTTTTATATGTCATCCTTTTTTTAATAATGCTTAATTTTGAAAGAAATGCTCTTAAGTTGAATGCTAAATTGTCCAAGTGCGAATGGAGTCCAAACATTTCAGTCCTTGCTAAGTTCAATGAACCATGCCAGCCTGGACTCAAATATTGTAGTATAATTTTTTACTTTACAGAACAATATAGAAGCATACTTATTTCCTCATATAGTAGGCACTCCTATTTCCCTTGATTTACATAACATTGTATTCGTGCAGTTCATTTAAGAAGTTGTAAGCGCGTCTGATCTGCGTTCGTAGAAGTTCAAAAGAATATTTTGCAATGGTTGGTCATGGTCCTCCGTGCTTTGGAAGCCACGCTAAGCCATGGATCGTTACTGCTCCTACAGTGGCCCTAGTGGAGGCTCAAGGCATCCCCTTATGCAGAGGTTTCCTTATCGAACACTCATTAGCCCGCAGTAAGGAAATTGATAGGCTGCTGATGATGATACTCATAAGGTATTATTGTTACAGGTGGTGAAAATGTTCATACTCGTGATAGTGATATTCGGCATCTGCTGGCTACCGTACCACGGCTACTTCATCTACACGCACTTTGACCCGTCCATCCTCTACATGAAATACGTGCAGCACCTGTACCTGGCCTTCTACTGGTTAGCGATGGCGAACGCCATGGTCAACCCCATCATCTATTATTGGATGAATGCCAAGTGAGTAAATGTCTAAACTTAAAATAAATTACGAAAACTTTTTTTTGGTCTCGACTGTTACAAGCTCTTATGATGACATGATGAACCTCAAACGCTATGTCACCATCATTGTGTAGTTCATCAAAGACGATGAAATTGGAAGTGAAAAGAACCCAAACAGCTGGAAGCATTAGACCAATCTATTCCTAAAGGCTTAGTAAGACGCCAAGTACAACAATTGTAACCGTACAATTTAGAGACATATTTTTACGTAGCTAGGTAGGCATGACTCTACCCCACCTGATGTTAAGTGGTGGTAAAGTCCAGATGTGAAGATAGCTGGTGTAGCAGTTATAAACTAGCATCTGGATTGTCACGCCAAAGATCTAGTATGATTTTATAATGGTTTTTAAACAGGCAGCATCTAGAACAAGGCGCTTGTAACGGGCAACATTCCATAAAAAAATCTATATATATAAAACTCAAAGGTGACTGACTGACATAGTGATCTATCAACGCATAGCCCAAACCACTGGACGGATCGGGCTGAAATTTGGCATGTAGGAAGATGTTATGACGTAGGCATCCGCTAAGAAAGGATTTTGATCAATTCTACCCCCAAGGGGATAAAATAGGGAATGAAAGTTTGTATGAAACTTTGTCAATTTTAAACCGATCGGGCTGAGACTTTGCATGCAGGTATAAGAAGAATCATAGATGAATGTCATTGTGTATAATACAAGCCTGAGAACAAAAACTGTAGTCTACACTTCAGCTCTACACCGAAGCGAAGCGAGGGCGGGCCTTTAAATAAGTCAATAACCAGTCGTCCACATTTTCACATTAAACATTATATTGGTGTTGTTTGTCAGGTTCAGGACGTACTTTCGGACGGCGATCCTGTGCCGGTGGCGCGACGTGTGCCGGCGCCGGCGCAAGCGGCCGCTGCCCGATTCGCCGCCGGACTGTATCTCGCAGTCCGGCAGCCGATCCCGATCAGGTTTTTACTCGTTAACGTAATTATTGAAGTGATATCTTTGGTAACCTTATGTGCTACCACTTAATTCTTAACGGTGCTGTGGTGCGTTTAAACGGCGCGTGGTAGTGTGATGCAAGGTCCAACCTAAGTTGATCCGAACACAAAACTACCTGAGGCCCAATCACGAATTTTGACAATTCCGTAATCTAGTTTGTTCTTAAAGAAACTTTGACGATCCGATACGATTACGGAGCTGTCAAAATTCGTGCTTGGGCCTCTGATGCAAATATCAGCCGAAGCGCTGTCTGTGCTCGTGGTTGCTTTTCCAAGCACAGTGCAATGACATATGTTATTGTTACGATAATTTAGATTCGATGTGTTGTAAAGCACTAGACCAGCAACACAGTCGATTAAATTTTCTTCATCTTCCTAAAACGTCGACATTTTTTCTCTGCTATTCACGAATCAATTTCATAGAGAATTATAGAAACAAGTGGTGTGGTTGCAAACAATCTCGGACTTGTACCTTTAATGTTATTTTATTGTGGTATTTTGTAATGGGGAAGTTCGGTTGGATTTTAATATCCAGTTTACCCTATATCTCTGAAATTCCATGTCCTTACTCGTATACCCGACTCGTGGATTTGTAAAAACGCGGTTGAATACTGCGATCTCGCAGTAACAATGATGACAAGCTACACAGTCTTTTTCACAAAAGAATTCTGGCGGCAATTAATGGAGGTAATTTAGCAGATCGGGCGTGTTGTAGCCAGAATTTTGTCGTTATTCAAACGCCTCTGTAACTTTGGTGTAACAAAAAATATTCTGGTTATAATTTTTATTTTTAAGCATATAACTGCTTGATGTTTAAATCTAAAGAAAATATAATTAGAAAAAAATCCACGCGGTCCAGGCAGCAGACGGGACTCGAACCCGCACCCTTTGCTATCCGGGCGAATGCACAGACCAATTATGCTACCGCGGCCCTAATGGCCGCATCGAAATTCCTCTAGCCATTCTTAAGCTGCAAGGCAGCGCCATCTCTATTATAGGTAATCCACAATATCAAATGAATACCTTTACAAGTATTAAACATTTGAACGAAGATTTTTTTAAAATATTCTGTCTAAAGGACAATGGGCAAAAAACACCCAGATTTGCTAACAATGATATCAATTAGTATGAATCGAAAGATCTGTGAAAAATTAGCCTTTTTTATGACACCGTAAAAAAATATCCTGGTAATCGAAAGACATATGGCCATATTTAAGTAGCTAAATAAATTAATTTAGTAGTACCTTTATTTTATATTATTAGTAACCATAATAATGTGCCATATCGTATTATATAACCAGATATACGATTAAGCCTGCCAACTATCTTGCGCTTGCACTTACACGAGACATCCCAAAATGGTTTACGAAGTAGGGGGGTACGGGGGTTGCTATACTCATATGCAGTCCTTCGTCTTACTTCGTTGTGATTGTGCGCTCCCTGTCACTTGATTGTTTTTTAACTGACACGCTTTGGACATTGGAACATGATTATCGGTTTTGTGAATTAGTATGGATAAACTGGAATCATGTTTTCTCCGAGGCGTGGACAAGTTTGTGTGATTTGTAATACCATAATACCAGAAGTATTGAATTCTAATAATACCATTGAAGGATCGAAGTAACAAACTTAATTAATTCTCCTGTTACAATAATGTTCGTTCGTTATAGTACTTGTACTTATTTTGGCACAGATGATCATGACTGTAATACCTTTCAAACAAATGTTGTTTAAGCTGTGGCGGACGTGGGAGCAGTGTCCATACATTTTTGCCCAATGTCCTTTCTTTCAAGTGCTGCCAGGTAAAAGATTCGGAAGATCAACAGTAGAACTCGAAATGCCAGTAGCATTATATCACTCTCACCTAAATCCTAGTACAATGCCCACAAACTGACAAGCGCTAATTTTTCCGAGTCGTCAACCTGTATCTAACTAGTACCGATGGCTCGTCAACCTTGCTTGGCTCGGCTTTTTTAAGCATGCGTTGTCCGACGGCGCTTCAATATTGATTGGCGCGGCTCCTTGTAGCATCCATCATCCGATAGTGCGTCAACCATGGTTGGCCCGGCTCCTTCTAGCATGCATCATCCGATAGTGCGTAGATTGATTGGCTTGGCTCCTTCTAGTATGCGTCGTTCGACCGCGCGTCAAAATTGGTTAGCCCAGCTCTTCTAGCATGCATCATCCGATAGTGCGTCAACCATAGTTGGCCCGGCTCCTTCTAGTATGCGTCATCCGACCGCGCGTCAACATTGGTTGGCTCAGCTCCTTCTAGCATACGCTATCCAACGATGCGGCAACCTTGATTAGCCCGGCTCTTCTAGCATGCGTCGTCCGATCGCGCGTCAACATTGGTTGACCCGGCTCCTTTTAGCATACGTCATCTGAATGTGCGTTAACCTTGGTTGATCCGGCTCCTCTAGCATGCGGCGTCCGACTGCGCATCATCATTGATTGGCTCGGCTCCTTCTAGTTTGCGTCATCCGACCGCGCGTCAAAATTGGTTGGCCCAGCTCTTCTAGCATGCGTCGTCCGACGGCCCATCAACCTTGATTCACTCCATCCAACGATGCGTCAACCTTGATTTTCCCGGCTCTTCAAGCATGCGTCGTCCAATCGCGCGTCAATATTGGTTGACCCGGCTCCTTTTAGCATACGTCATCTGATTGCGCGTCAACCTTGGTTGACCCGGCTCTTCTAGCATGCGTCGTCCGACGGTCCATCAACCTTGATTGGCTCGGCTCCTTCTAGTATGCGTTGTCCGACCGCGCGTCAACATTGGTTGGCTCAGCTCCTTCTAGAATGCGTTATCCAATGATGCGTCAACCTTGATTGGCCCGGCTCTTCAAGCATGCGTCGTCCGATCGCTCGTCAACATTGGTTGACCCGGCTCCTTTTAGCATACGTCATCTGAATGCGCGTCAACATTGGTTGACCCGGCTCCTCTAGCATGCGTCGTCTGACTGCGCATCGTCATTGATTGGCTCGGCTCCTTCTAGTTTGCGTCATCCGACCGCGCGTCAACATTGGTTGGCTCAGCTACTTCTAGCATGCGCTATCCAACAATGCGTCAACCTTGATTTTCCCGGCTCTTCTAGCATGCGTCGTCCGATTGCGCGTCAACATTGGTTGACCCGGCTCCTTTTAGCATACCTCATCTGAATGCACGTCAACCTTGGTTGACCCGGCTCTTCTAGCATGCGTCGTCCGACAGCGCGTCAACATTGGTTGACCCGGCTCCTTTTAGCATACGTCATCTGAATGCACGTCAACCTTGGTTGACCCGGCTCTTCTAGCATGCGTCGTCCGACAGCGCGTCAACATTGGTTGACCCGGCTCCTTTTAGCATACGTCATCTGAATGCACGTCAACCTTGGTTGACCCGGCTCCTCTAGCATGCGTCGACCGACTGCGCGTCAACATTGGTTGACTCGGCTCTTTTATGCATGCGCCATCCGAATGCGCGTCAACCTTGGTTGGCCCGGCTCCTTCTAGCATGCGTCGTTTCTCTGCACCATAAAGTTTCAGACTTTCTTTTTTTTTGCGACAAATTTTACATCAATCATAGCGGCTTTGCTAGAGAGCCGACACCGAATAAACAGCACATCAATCACTTAAAACTTCATTACTTCCACTTAGTGGAATTTTCATTTAGAGTAATGATTTAAATGAAAGTTATTTTGGTTTTGCAAAAATTTGAAGTAGTTTAGTTTTTAGGCGCCTAATCATAATACAGAAATAGCATTGATTTACAAAGAAGCTACTATATAGTTACTCAATCACTATTTGGCTGAAAGGTCGTCAATCCATAACAATATACATGCTAAAGTGTGTCTGTCTGTTACGTTTGCACGCTTAAACTGCTGAACCGATTTAGATCAATGTATAGAGATAGTTTGATTCTTGGGAACGGACAAAGAATAGATTTTATTCTAGAAGTCATTCTTTAAACGGGTAAAAAAAGGGTGGACGTTTGAGTGGGAAACCAATTTTTGCACACGGACGAAGATGCGAGAACCTGATGCTTCTTTAAAAATATTTTTAAGAACTACTGAGACATCGATTTATACCGTTAATTCATTATATTCAAAGATTATTTGTGTAATTCTTTCAGGAGTGTGTATGCAACACATTAGTTTTTAAAACAAAATGTCTGTTAGGACAGGGGTTGTTGAAACACTTTAAATGTATTTTTCTCCGCCAAAAAGTATATAATATATCAATGCGACAAAAAACATTGTACTCAGTTAAATAATATTTCCACTCATTACTCTCGGATACCTCCATAATACGAAATGATTGCTCATTGATTAATATTGAGATAACGAAATAATTCAACGGAATTATTGAAACTGTATTCGGGCGTTTTTCATTTCAACTATCGAATAAGGAAAATATTATGTAAGGTTTCATTAATATCACTAATCCAATAGCAGTGGTATACGAACGTGCAAACAAAAAGTCGTAATGTTTTACACCAATAAATTTCATGGACAGGGAAGAATTCAAACAAAAAGTACAGGAAGAAGTTGACTGTATTACATAAAATGTCGTAAAAAAAAAACATTTCAGTTAAATCAAGTCGATAATTTTTCAGTTTTGAGGAGCTCGATGGCGCAAGTGGTAAGCACGTTCAGCTGCGATCATTGAAGTTAAGCAACTTTCGCAGTGGTCGGTCATTGGATGGGTGACCAACATTTTATTATTACAAGCTCCTACGTGCTTCAGAAGGCACGTTAAGCCATTAGTCCCGGCTGCATCTGCAGTCGTTAACCCTCCCTATTCCATCCATAGGGAAGGCCTGTGCCCCAGCAGTGGGGACATTAATAGGCTGATGATGATGATGATGAATTTTTCACTTAACATCACATTTGTCTACATTATAGTAGAACTATTCTACAGTTCTATACCGTAGCGAAGCGAGGGTAACTAGTTTTTAATATAAATATTTATAAAAAGGATTCTGGGATCCAAAGAAAAAAG